GTTTAATTACGGTTATAAGTTATGTTGTCATCTTGCTTTTATGACATGCTATTGCATTTGTGTTACGCACTGTATTGTAATAAAGGTGAAAAGACGGATGCGCCAGCTTGAGCAGACTCACAAATGTATGATTGACCATCCTGGACTGGAGCCTCGAGCCTGTTTGTTTAAACGTGTATTCTCTTCAGAATTCATGTATCATTTATTGAGCCGACTATGGTCCAGCGTTGAAAAGACTCTCGTTTGTGACGCAGTCCGGCGCGAAAATGATTGGTGCAAACGTGTAAAACTTTTGCGATTTTCTTTGGGACATTTCCTTCAAAAATTTAATTAAACCACAATGTCCTCAATGACTCACATGGCGGGAGTCTATGGAGACTCCCAAAACACGACACTTGCAATGCCTCTTTGGCGCAGACATTATACATCTCCAGCTGCTACAGCGAGGACATAGAAGTGGTGGACTCTGTGCTTCTCACTCAGGGCTGTCTCTATGCTAATAGGGCAGATCGTCACCAGCTGTGGGCGTGGCTTGTCCCTACAGTAATGTCATTGTAGGGGAGAATCTGAATCAGCTCGTTTCAAGAGACTGCTTTTGATTTATGGGAATTATAAAAAAAGAAGTGGAGTTTTACCATTATAGGCTGGTTGTTCTCCCACACTGCACACACACATCTGTGTTCAAACACCTTATAAAAGTGAATGTTGCATAGGTCCCCTTTAAAAATACTAATACAATTTATTAAGCAAATCTCGAAATGAATATTCATTTTTCTTACGGTACATTGTTGTGATGCCTTAATTCACTTGTATTGGATTTAAAGCAATTAATTTTAGTATGTAGTGTTTTATTTTTTCTAATTTATATAGACATATTAGTATAGAACTTTAATATCAGTAATCTTTCAGTTAAAAATAATTCTTGGCTTATATTGTCCAGAATTTTAATATAACGATGGATATTAAGCTTTTGTGTGGCTTTACTATAAAAGTACTAAACATCCTTAAAAATGTTACATTTACTCGAGAAGCAGATTTCCATAATATATCTTAAATTAAGTTTATTTTTCCTTTCCCATTTGAAAATAGTTTTTTTTTTTAAACAAGGGACAAGAAGTCTTAGTAACTTTGATCTTTTTATGGCCTAATTATATTGTCTTGTACAGTACACAACATGCATGCTTGATTCTGTTTTTATCAGTCTGCTAGTTTGTGTATATGTGCGCTATATGTGTGGGCGCTGCAGTAATCAGTCGAGACTCCACTTTGGTCAGAGCTCTCTGAGGGAAATTGCCTGGAAACCCCCTTAGTCTGCCCAACCTCCTCACTGAGGACTTCCTCAGAGACTCCAGTCCCAGAGTACCTCCCCCTTTTCTATTTTTGTCCTTCATGCGTTTTTCATTTCTTCCTTTCAACTTAAAAAGAGGTCCTTAATGAGTAACTACCAATTTGGAGGCGGGTGATATTTCAAATGGACGAGAAGTTTGAAAAAGGATAGACATTAGCTGTGACGGAATTGCCATTGTCTTTTGTTGGACAGGAAAGTGTTGATAGGAAGGCTGTCTTTAATAGTCTCTGTACTTGCTAATTATCACCTCAAAGGAGTTTTCCTTAGGCATGTGGGAGTCTTTCACATAGATGTTGTGTTTGGACAGATTACTTATCTGTGGTGCTACTGCATTCACGGTAGACTGTGAACAAACATGTTAACAAAACATTTAATGGCTGTAACCAAGTTTCAATATTAATAGAGCTTAATTTTAATTACATATTTAGAAAGTCTTAAGGGAAGTTTCACAATCATAGGTACGGTCATATGTTCATTCTTCAGGATTATTTCTTTAGCTGGTATTTTACGATTGCTTTTGTACACTCTGGAACTATCAGCAAAAAAATGACATGAAATAAATTTGAATTAAAGATACAAAAGGCAGTATTTGCAGTGAGGAGACCATTACATTTGTTAGAGTAATTCACACATGCTTACTTGAGTCTATTTGAGTTATTCATTTAAATAACTGGCTTATAAGTAGGGATGTACGCCATGACTAAATTCATTAACATTTAAATGGAAGTCAAAAGAATTATCCTTTTAAAAATAGCCTAATTCATCTATGGATCAAATAGTGAAAAACCCATACTGAATCCCGCTGAAAAATAAGTCATATACATGGGATGTGCCTGCCTTGCATTATGATTACTTGCATTATTGATTACAATGTACATTAAACGTAAGCATTCAATCAACATTAACCAATGTAGACATTTATTAGAATAAACTGAATCAATAGGACCAATAAGTACAAACTCAACAGTCTGTCATGAACAGAATTCCTCAAATAAATGTAAGCCAACAAAAGTCAGCAAGTCATGGTATTGCTGTTGGGTATTGTTGTCCCTCATAACAGGTAGTATAACAAGCCCATAAGCGAGCTTAATTGTTATATTGTAGTTTTATGTTGTTGACTAGCAGCAGCAGTATTGTTTAGTTGACTGGTTGACTAGTCTCGCACATCCCTACTCAGAGTCATTCTTTTGTGAATCAGACTACAGTGTTCTCACAGTATGTTTGTTTTTGCAGCCCATGAAGACAACACAATAGTCTATCTATAATTTATAGCCTTATTATTATTTCACAATTCACAGTCTTTTAACATGGAATTCACCCATAATCTCACCATTTTTGGACAGGCTTCTTCATTAACTGAAGTTTTGGGCCATTTGTTGCATACCACACTGAACTTCACACAAGGGAATCATACCTGTTCTTCTCCTGGAAGACTAAGGGTATCTGGGGAAACTATGGTAAGCTCGTCTGGTCAGAACAGTAGCGGTAGCCCTGGCGACCTCGGGTGGCCATGCTCTGACGTCAATGGCTTGATAAAGTCGGTCGGCCTGAGGGCGCTAGGAAAGATATTTTTAGCCCCTGACTGATGAAGGGGGAGTAATCTGATTTTCATGTAAGCCGAACGCTTCCGCCAGGCATCCAGCAAAGAAACCGGATCATTATCATGTTGGTAAACTTTAGCCGATGCTGGGAGGGCAACCCGGCCCACGGTAGAGGCTGAGTGACATGTGAGTTAATGTGTTCTCAGCTGTAAGTGGCCCCCGCGTAGTGGTATCCTACCTCACACTCGAGGTCTCTGCAGATTCAAGGACACCACAAAGACTCTATAACTTCATACTGCCTATTTCGAAGTGATGTGCCAATTTGGTTTATTAGTATACAGCAATGCAAGGATTTAAAGTGCTTTTCATAGTTTGATGAAAAAAGTATGCCAGGCATGTCCAGGAGGTGTAGTATTCTGTGAAGTATGCATGCTTTTTTTCCAAAATTGGCTATTTCTCAGTTATTTAAAAAAAAGTTAATAAATGTGATGACGATGCCACCCTTGAAGGTAATGAATTATCCTAGATGCTACCTTGTCTGTCCCATTGCATTTACATTTACATTACATTTATGCATTGATTTGTGAGATGCTTTTATACACAGCGGCTAAATTACATTGAGGGTATATTTTTTTTCAAACCGTAACCCATGGCTTTGTTGCTTGTGCCATGTTCTACTGTATGAGCTACAAGAATGCAATACCAACATTTCAGTGCAGGCACCAATTTGATTATTATTGTTTCATTTAGTATTGGGAATAGAAATTAATACAGTTTTTTTTTTTTTTTTAAGAAATGAATACTTTTATTCAGCAAGGATGCATTAATCAAAAGTGACAGTAAAGACATTTATGTTACAATAGGCTTCTATTTTAAATAAAAACTGTTCTTTTGAACTTTTTATTCATCAGAGAATTCTGAAAAAATTCACTCGATATTTGTAAAAAAAAATATTTTTTTATTTTTATTTTTTTATTATACTTTTATGTCTAATATAATTACGAATTAAATTGCAGCCTATGAGCTTTCCTTACTCATAATCCAACCATAATATGCCACAGAAATCAGGGGCAGGGGCAAGTTCAATTCCTTTTGTTCCCCAATGCCGTTGAAGTTGAGTACTTAGATTCGGACTAATGTTTGGAAGCTGCTTTGACCTGGTCACCTTTAATTGGTGAGATTTGTTTCCCTGCCTTTGTAGAAAGCTCATGCTAATGTGCACACGAGCCTGGAAACACATCGCTATCCCCATGGCAACTCATTAATGCCACCTTACTGCAGGGAAAATGATGTATTTGATGGAGGAAAAAAAAGTACAACACAAACAAAATCAGGAATGTTGGGTTTTCCGAGGTCTTTTTTTAGTACATCAGTTGTGCAAAAGACTGGCTCAGAAGCTTTGGGAAGCTCAGTATTCTTGGGTAGTGGTACTATTGGAAATAGCAGAAATGGAGAGAAAGTGACTGGTTGGGCTGATTTTTAGGACGAGCCTCAGGCCATCACCTTGGTTTCCCCTCTAGGTTATATAACCACATCCTCTCTTTACCAGTACAGTGCCCTACCATAAGGAAGGTCTTGGCTGTTACTTTTTTTCTAATGATCTAAAAGGAAGCTGTCGCCCTTTTACATTGAATTTACAATTTTGGACATTTTTCTGTGCTGCCCTTCCCTGATAAAACCGAGCTCAGTTGGATTACATTCCCAACGGGCTACAAAGGACGACAACGTCAACTAGCCAGTCAACATTTGAGCTTGATTACACCTGATTACGGTAACATGGGCAGACACAGACAAACGTCAGCCCTGCATTTACAGACACATCATACATGAACCACAGAGTACCCTCTCAATTTCAAATGCACCCATTGGCCTTTGCTTATGTAACTGTGTGTTCTAAACAAATTGTATGTTTATGTGTCAACATGCTATTTTAAGTGCTACTAGCATAGAGGTTAAGGGAACATGTTTGAACCCAGGCAGAGGTGACTGATTATAAAATACAAATGCAACAGGTGCGTGCATGTAAGCTTTAGTTGTTAGCTTTAACAGGTTATCATAATTCTAATGGCTGGTAGATGACTCGTTAATTTACTGTATCGCTCTCTTTCCAGCCGTGGATGTGAAGACTTTGTTACCATCTGGGATGCAGAGCCCGGTGGGAAGTGGAGGAGATCAGGGCGGAGGTAGCGGAGGGCCGGTGGACCTGCGTACAGACCCTCGTCTGAGCACACTAAGCACAGTGGACCCGGCGATGAGAGAGAAACAGCTTCAGCACGAGCTGCTCTTACTCAAACAACAGCAAGAGCTCCAGAAGCAGCTGCTGTTCGCCGAGTTCCAGAAGCAGCACGAGGTTTTGACACGCCAACATGAAGTGCAGCTACAGGAGCATCTTAAGGTATGACCCTTGCTGTCCTCTCGGTACACATCATCTCCTTGAGCTCTGATTCTTGACTGATTTTCTTCCTGAACAGCAACAGCAGGAGATCCTTGCAGCAAAGCGTCAACAGGAGCTGGAGCAGAAGAGGAAGTTGGAACAGCAGCGTCACGAAGAGATGGAGAAGCAGAGACTGGAACAACAACTGCTCATGTTACGGAACAAAGAGAAGGGCAAAGAGAGTATGCATCTCTCCATTAATCCATCTATTATATACAATAGATCTACAGCGAGCGAACTCATTTCATGGCATGTTCACCGCTCATCATTTCCTGTTATTTAATTTCCAAAATGGGAATAGTTTAAATGCACTGTTCACCTTTTAGTTCAATGAGTAAACACCTTGCTGAGCAGTACGTGGGTGATGTTTATCTCTGTTTGCTGTTATAATTATGCATTGTCATGGATATTCTTTAAAGTACTTTAGGCACAGCAGGCACAAATTGCTGTATTATTTCTCTTTGGTTGTTAACTATTAAAAATAACACAATGCAGTACTAGGATTTATTGAGCCACAAAATTAACATATTGGATCTGTTCCAAAACCTTGTGAGCTGCCTACATAGTATTCTAACAGAGATGGAACCTCATAAGTGCACACATACTGTAGGCACCACTTATTTGCAGCACCTGTGGGAAAAGTCTCTTCTCAAAGTTGATTTCAATATAGTTTGATTAGCATGTTGCTAATGTCATGAGTAATGATGCTGAAAATTAAGCTTTGACATCACAGGAATAAATTACATTTTAATATACATTAAAATAGAAATCAGTTATTTACTGTTTTTACTGTATTTTTGTTCAAATAAATGCAGCCTTGATGAGCATAAGAGACTCATTAAATTGACTTCTTATTTTTAACCAGTAATGTATTTACACTGCCTGTCCAAAAATTGGCTAATACGTTAGAGTCTATGATTGGATCATTATTGCAGTAATTATGTTTCTAGCGTGTTATATGTTTGGCAACGGTTCTTCTAACTCTAATTGATGAAGTGTGTAGCTTTACATTCCTTGAACAACCACGTAGGAAGACACATCATGTCCATGCATTGTCAATGCAAGATCTTGACCAATAATTGATGCTCCTCTTGATGGAAATAAATGTTGTGATGTTATTTCCATCAAGAGGTAAATACATTTTTTTAATAAATCCCCAACTTTGTTATTTGTCCAGTGCTATTAACATAAAACCATGCAGGTTGTTAAATAAAGGTGCTCTAAAATGTTTCTGTGATTAGATGTAGAATTTTCACCTAGCGGACAATAAAACGGAATGAGAAAAGCCCATAGATTTTCATTGAAGGAGGGGCACCAACCATATATAGAGACCACAATATCACAGAGACTTCATAGAGTTGTGTTCTTTTGACTTTGGTTAGTTAGCAACCTCAGAACACCCTAGCAAAGGCATAGCAATGCCCTAGCAACTACATAGAAGACACTAGCAACCGCATAGCAACACACTGGCAGCTATCCGCAAACCCATGATAATGACTTTTCCAGAGGTGAACGAAACTCACTGTTTAAAAAAATATATATGTCAAAAACTGATTCAAAATCACTCTCCTCCAATCCAACATCACCTGTGTCCTTTGACTCTTGTTATTAGGTGCCATCGCCAGTACTGAGGTCAAACTGAAGCTGCAGGAGTTCCTGTTGAGCAAAAAGGAACCTGGCCCCGGTGGACTTAACCATTCCTTCCCCCAGAAGTGCTGGTAAGAGGAACCTTGCTAGTCCATATCACTCAGCCTTATTCTGGGCTGGTAAACCCAAATTCAAAGCGCATTTTTAAAACAAAAAATTTTTTCAGCAGTAAACAAAATTAATGCTTTTGAGCATGAGCCACATTATGCTGGAAGTTTATGGGTCTCGTGCATTGTGATGGATGAGTCTTTGTAATGGCCTGTGTTTGTTTTCAGGGGGGCTCACCACGCGTCCCTGGAGCAGAGCTCCCCTCCGCAGAGCAACACACCGGGCACACCGCCCTCCTACAAACTCCCACCGCTGTTAGGGTCCTATGAGGGCAAGGATGACTTCCCTCTCCGTAAGACCGGTGAGTAGACGTCTTGCACGTGTGTTTCGTAAATATTGCATAAATGTTTCGCATAAATGTTGAAATGAACAAAGATTAATAATAAATGCTGTAGAAGTGCAGTTCGTTATTAGTTCATGTTAACTGATGTAGTTATTTAATGTTAGCTAATGAAACACTATTGTAAAGTTTTACCAACAATTATATTTGAACTTTATATTCATGGAAGAAATCCTGAAAAAGGTCATGGTTTCCACATAGAGATTAGGCAACATTGATAATAATCAGAAATGTTTCTTGAGCAGACAATCATCATATTAGAATGATTTCTGAAGGATTATGTGACACTGAAGATTGGAGTAATGATGCTGAAAATGTAGCTTTGATCTCAAGAATAAATTACATTTTAAAATGTACTGTATTAACATAGAAAACAGTTATTTTAAATTATAATAATATTTCACACTATTACTGTTTGTACAATATTTTTAATCAAATAAATGCCGCCATAGTGAATATAAGAGACTTAATTTAAAAACACAAAATATATCTTACCAACCTCAAACATTTGAACGGTACGGTACATTTAATGTTTGAAAATCTCCCATCGACTTGCACTGTAAGAATGTAACGTCTAAATAATGATGATGTCATACTGGCCCACTCTCTTCAACTGTTGATGTCAGCTGGGTCACATTTTCTTTGTCTCCCATTCCTCTGGCTCTCTTCTCCTTTTCTGGATTATTATACCAATAAACACTATCCTTGTGCTGCCTTGCAAGCCCTCATATTTCCTCCGGGAAATGCAAATGTATTTTAATTAATTGTTTCAATGAGTAATAGTTGCGACATTGACACTGCATTATAAAGGATTACTGTGTTTGCATGTAAATGTCAGATGATGATTTTCTTTCTGTGCATGAATGACGCTGTTATGGAGTCAACAGTGTTTTTGTGTGGAGAATTTTGAGCTCTTTAACATTCTAGAGGTATCACAGGAGGTGTGTGTGTGTGTGTGTGTGTGTGTGTATGTGTATGTGTGTGTGTGTGTGTGTGTGTGTGTGTGTGTGTGTGTGTGTGTGTGTGTGTGTGCGCGCGCACAGGGTTGAAGACTCTTCAGTGAGGAGTCTGCAGATGTGAGTCATAATGAGTCATCAGAACAGTGGACCAACACATAAACGCACACCTTAGTGGCTATATTAGTGACGAAATGGATTTCATACTAAAATAATGATATTTATTATACCCTACCTCACAATCTAACCCTCACACAATCTATTGGCATTAATACATTTCAAGCGAAACACAAATTGGCCTGATTTTGAGAGTTTCAAATACCAAGGACCACCTCAAATGTCTTGGATGTTGTTTGACTATATTTGTGAGGATGTTTTCAAAGTATAACCTGAGTACACACACTCATACCGGTCATCTGCTGTTCACTCTCATAGCTGCCAGCCATACTCCAAAACACCCACACAGATTCAGTGAGTTTGTTCCCACACAGACACACATCTGCTATCTGCTTTTTACACACAGCTATCTTTTAAACTGTCACACCCACGCTGCTTTATAAAGCTCACTATAATAGAACTGACACACATATACCATACAGAGGATAGGAGGACACTTGCGCACACACACGCCCTCTAGCTTGGACTTCAGCACACTGATAAAGTAATCGCAGACGGGTCTGTTACCGTGGGCGAAGAGCTTACTCCATATTACCACTGTTATGGCAACACCACAGCAATCTCCTTACATAACCTGGCCTCAGTTTGTGTGTGTGTGTCTTTCCATCACGTCCCCTCCCCCTCGTCTCACACATTTATTTTTAATTTAATTAAACTCATACTAAAGTCACTGATAGCATTAGGCACTAAAGTCCTTTCTGCTCTATATGCTTAGTGTGGCTGTGACGCACAAACGGGCCCAGAAAAAACACAGGGCTCGGTCAAGCCGCATTACACACGGCGTGTTCGGGTAATTGCCCCACTTCCTTAGTCTTTTTTCTGTTTCAAATCCCTTTTTACTTCAATTAGTTTAATTTGGCCCATCATCTCCGGAATCAACAAGAGATAAAATCAGCACACTGTAAATATAACTTTTATCTACAGCTCTGTGTGTGAGTGTGTATGTGAGTGAGAGAGAGAGAGAGAGAAACAGGGAGGGATGTGCGGTTGCTGTCCATGGTCCTGATGCACAAGAGCGACAGATCCAAAGCCTCATTAGTAGTGTTCATTAAGGCAACATACATAGGGTTGGTGACTTTGAACAAGCCCCTAAGTGTAATTAGTCAACTTTGCTGTGCAACTAATCTTGCACCGTTTGTGCCACGGACACACGTGATACCTCAAATCATGCGGGTGTGAAATCAAGTGATTTGAACTTTTTTCTTTCTCTCTCTCTTGTTCAGCCTCTGAGCCCAATCTGAAGGTACGTTCACGGTTAAAACAGAAGGTGGCTGAGAGGAGAAGCAGCCCACTGCTTAGACGGAAAGATGGTACTGTGATCAGCACCTTCAAGAAAAGGGCAATTGAGATCTCAGGTAAACAATATGTGAGAATACAGAACTGTTTGCACAACCTCATGGGTAATAATGGGACAGGAAGCCATTAAAACTTTTTTAAGCTGAGGACTCTCCACATATGATGATCTCTATCTGACAGATCTTAAAATTATCTTAAAATATAAAGGCAGCTATAAACATATCCACATTTAGGATATTTTAAGTTTTACCATATATTTGTCATGAATATAAATATATATAGCGGTCTAAATTTTAGGATAGGGGCCACCAAATATGTATAAAATATTATATTGAAAAATATTAAATTTCTATTATTTAATTCTTTTTTGACCCAGCCGTGAAACTAAATGTCAAATTCAGTACATTTTTATTTACAATTTATGTATTTGTTTAGTTATTATTTATTAATCATTTTTTATTGTATTTATATGTATTTTTAACACTATTTAGTTTATTAGTTTGCAATTCAGATTTAGATAAAACATTATTATTTAAGTTTATATAAATTTAATACAAATAAAAAGGTTTGGGATAGGTGTGCGTTCAACTTGAGTTTATATGGAAGTTGTAATTCTGAGATTATATCAGCACCTGAGTTGTGTTCAAATGGCCTGTGAATAACAGACCTCTGCCGTCAGATGATAAGTGTGAAGATTTTTCAAACATAAGTAATGAACACGTGGGTATCGTGTGATTTCTGTACTGTTAAGATAAAAGAGCTTGGAGGAAGGGAACAGTTTAACATCCTGCTGATACATTAAAACGGGTTCAATCAGTCACAAAATATTGTGAAATCATCAGCTATATTTCCTACCGATGCAGCTAAAATGTGATTGTTGAAATCTGTGTGTGTTTCAGTGTCCTCTATGTGCAGCAGTGCCCCTGGCTCGGGTCCCAGTTCTCCGAACAGCTCTAACTGTGCCATTGCAGAGAATGGCTCCAGCGGATCCGTCCCAAACATCCACGCTGAGGTGAGAGACTTACCCCCAACACGTTTGCTTCTCTTCTGCTCTTGCACTCTCCTTGGTTCACAAAAGGTTAGGGATGAAAAAAGACAATAAATTGGCTTCACCTAGGTAATGACAGCGTTTCTATGGAAACAGTCTACCGTACAGAGCCTTGTGATGGCTTGGGCTTACATTGATATGCTAATCCTAAAAAAAAAAAACACATGTTCTGAAAGTCATCCTTGCAGTAAGTTGTGTCTGTAGGCTCTAGAATGGCCGCAGCTGCTCTGGATGGACAGCAGGAAGCAGCCTGGGGTCGACCATGCATGCTAAGCAGCTAGCCTTGAGCATCACCTTAACCTTGAGAGCCGGAGAAATTGTGTGTGCACATGCCACAGAGGACTTGAAGCTGTAGGGGAGGAACGCTGAATTCGAATGAGCTAGTTTGTGTTTGATTTTGGATGACCACTCTATTAAATGCAAAACAAAACACTCTTTTTCAGACAAATATTACCATTTATAACAATTACATGTCGTTTATGCTTTTATAATTTTTTTAGTTATGCTAAATAATTCCATGTAATTGTTTTATGGACAAAATCTGTGTCTGTGGACAAAATTCTATTATGACTCTCTGTGGTCACAAAAAAATCCCAGGATGTCTTTCGAAAGAGTAGGGGTGTAACCCCGGCATCCTGGCCAAATTTGCCCAGTGGCCTCTGTCCATCATGGCCTCCTAATCATCCCCATATATATATACCAATTGGCTTCATCACTCTGTCTCCTCTCCACCAGTAAGCTGGTGTGTGGTGGGCGCTCTGGCGCAATATGGCTGCCGTCGCATCATCCAGGTGGATGCTGCACATTGGTGGTGGTTGAGGAGATCCCTCCTTCTATGTAAAGCGCTTTGAGTGCCAAGAAAAGCGCTATATAAATGTAATGAATTATTATTATTATTATTATTATTAAAATAGATCATGCAATGCACGAAGGTCAGACTTATCTTTTATTTGTTATGAATAATTGTATCTTTTGAGAAATAGAAAATAATCCAATTAAATATATATATATATATATATATATAAAAATGGGTATTATAAACGAGGTAATTTATGATATTAATATTTATATATAATATTAACATTATAAAATATACATAGAATAATAATAATATTTACTTATATAGTATACTTAAATAGTATTTTATGATAATGTTTTTAATTTTAATAATATGCAAAAAAAATTCCTGCAATTATGTACCTTTAACATAATATGTAGCATTGCATAGTATCTTTTAATTTGTTACATTATTGCTGTGAACATTTTTCAGTCTCATCAACCAGCAAAAAAGGAAATCCCTCTGTCCAGCGTCTAAAGGCTGCATACCACTCCCCAAAAATAGTGTTAGATCGTTATTCCAGAGCGCCTTTGTAGCCTAGCAGTGCAACCTCAAGAGATGTGATGGATAAATGTGAAGGAGAATAGAATGCTGACATCATCGCAGCTGCAAGTAGGGCACTTTGCCACGGAATGTCCGCTTTGTCTCTCCCTACCTCGTCTTTTCTGAGTGTAACCTTTGAGTCAGAGTGAGAATGACGTAGCTCAATAAACAACGTATAATGAAAGATTTAAATTGTGTCTTTGGGGATGAATAAACGTTGCCTTGTAAAGCAGATCCATTCGTTTTTGTTCTTTGGCTTTAAAAAATGGCTGCACTCCAAGTCTAGGGTCAGATGATTGGATTACCAGCACTCAGAAACACCTCTGGATTTCTCACTTGGATCTTTTTGGGATAATTTTTTATTCATTCGGAATTCAAAAATGAACCATCCATATAACTGCTTTGCCCATTTCTTGAACATGGCACAGAAACTGTTGTCTTCTTCAGGTGGTGCTCGTCTATTCCCAAATACAGACAATCCATTCCCACATGCTGCTTTCCCTGTCAAAAACTTAGTAAGGATTTCCAAAGAAGAATGCTTTTAAGTGATCAAGTCATGCCGAGACTTCTTGTCTGGGATTCCTTCCTGAGATAAAACGGCTTCTTTCCTCAAAGTTGTGGTGTTTGAAGTGTACAACCTGAAATACACAGTTGTGTTCAAATAAATAGCAGTGCGTTAATAAAAGTGAATAGAGTGCAACTATTTTTTATTAATAGCTTTTATTTCCAGATTTCAAATGTTCTGGAAACATTACACATTCCAAATCAAAGCATTAACAAATTTGATCAAGTCTGCATTATTTCTTTTACAGGAAGCAAAGAAAAGGAATATCAATCTGTTCAAAAAAATAGCAGTGTCGACATTTCAAACTTTTTTAAGATTAAACTTTACTTTAAATTACTGAACTAATATTTAGTTGCATAACCATTGTTTCTGCGAGGCATCGAGTCAAACCAACTTCTGGCACCTAGAAACAGGTATTTCAACCCAGAATGAACAAAATACATTCCACAGTTCCTGGGAATTTTTGGGGTTTGCTTCAGAAACTGCATTTTTTATGTCACCCCACAAGTTTTCATTGGGTTTGAGGTCAGGAGATTGAGAAGGCCACTCCACTACCTCGATCCTTTTCGTCTGGAACCAAGATGTGGCTCGCTTACTCGTGTGTTTGGGGTTGTTGTCTTGTTAAAAGACCTATTTCAGGGTCACTTCCTCTTCGGAATATTGCAATATAATCTCTTCAAGTATTTTGATGTATTCAAACTGACCCATGATCCCTGCTATGCGATAAATAGGTCCAACACCATAGTATGAAAAGCATCCCCATACCATAATGTTTGCGCCACCAAGCTCCACTGTCTTCACAGTACTGTGTCTTGAAGTCAGTACCTGGGGGGCGCCTGACGTACTGCCGATGAGCACTAGACCCGAAGAGAACAATTTTTCCTCTCGTCCGTCCACAGAATGTTATGGCATTTTCTCTCTGGGGCTATCAATTGGCAAATTTGAACCGATTCTGCATATGCCGTTTTTTCAACAGTGGTGCTTTACGGGGGCTTCTTGCTCTTAGATTAGCTTCGATCAAATGTCTTCTGCCTGTAACGGTACTTACAGGTAATTTTAGATCATCTTTGATCTTTCTGGAGGTGACGATTGGCTGAATCTTTGCCATTCTGACTATTCTTCGATCGGTTTTAACAGTAGTTGCTCGTTTTCTTTCGCGTGTTTCAGGTTTTTGTTGCCATTTTAAAGCATTTGAGATCATTTTAGCTGAGCTTCTTTCTACGTTTTTTCCTCTCCAATCAACTTTTTAATCAAATTACATTGTTCCTCTGAACAATGTTTGGAACGGCCCTTTTACTTAGCAATTCAGAAGGAAATATATTTTATAACAATGTGTGAAACATTTGCTTCCCTTCTTCCTTAATAAAGGACAATGACAACAGTTTTTTTTTTACAGAATGAGTGAATTATCTAATTAAACTCCACACTGCTATTATTTTGAACACGCCCCTATCAATGAATGAGTCAATTACTCAGAACAAGCAGCGTGCATGTCATGACAGTTGGGTCTGTTCTTTTTCTATTACACTACTACATCTACAAGTAAATGATCTGCAGTGCAGAAAAATCACTACTACTAAATAACAGTGGTTCATCAGGTTACTGATGTTGTACTGCTATTTTTTTTTTATTCAACTGTAGGTCTCGTTGTTTGTCCTATGGGGCTTATCTCTTTCTCTCCTTTTTATCATTCGGCAGCAGTTGCGTTCTCTGCATCAGTCTTTGACTGGGGATGGGACACCAAGTCCCCTGAGTCTCTACACCTCTCCATCTCTGCCCAACATCTCTCTGGGACTGCCTGCCAACGCACACATCACGGTAAGTGTCCTCTGCTAAAGCCTGGTGGCTTTGTGATAGTTGAGATGATTCAGAGTTTGCAAGTGGTGTAGGCTGAACCCTAGTGGGCTTGCTAGATTATTAGGTTGGTTTCACACTAGGGCTTTTGGTTTAGTCTCAAGAGTTTGGTTGAACTGATTTTCAGAAGTCAGATGCACACCATCAAACCGCACCCTAGTCTGCTTGAAAATGTGGTCTTGGATACGGTTCATGACCCAAAAGTATGTCAAAGGATGGAGAGCGGGGGCCAGTTGGAATGGAATCGAACCTCTTCTGGATTGGTCCAAGCAATGGAAACTTATAGACCTTATAGACTATAGTTGTAGCTTTATGGCAAAAAGCAGCTCAACATTCCCAAGAAATGGCTAAATGAATAGGATCAGTGTACAAACAACCAACTGTATAAAATTAACCCTACTCTGTGTAAAAATTGCATCTTTATTTTCAGCTAGATCAAATATACCGATAATGCCGATCAGGACATTCAGTATCTCTTAAACATATTTTACTAAATTGTTCTGGTTATTGGAAATTATATTACTCAGGAAACACTTTTAGAAGAAATTTAAACAGTCAACCCTGAATCCGTTTTTTTTTTATAGGTTTATATATAGGTTTAACCAACCAACATTATTCCCAAGTCTGCAGAATACATTTTCGTTCTCTTCTTCTCTACTCTAGGCCCCCCAGAAACTCAGTCCCCAGCAGGAGGCAGAGCGGCAGACAATCCAGAGTCTGCGTCAAGGTGGGGCACTGACAGGGAAGTTCATCAGCACATCGTCCCTACCGACGTGCCTTCCCACCGGGGCATCCCATGACCCTGAGCCCCCTTCCGCCTCTAATAGCCACAGTAGCCATTCCTCGCTGCTCCAGCACGTCCTACTCTTGGAGCAGGCTCGTCAACAGAGTGCACTTCTCGCAGGTACAAACCAAAACGTATAGAATACAGTCATCTTACCTCAAATGCACTGTTATTTGCTTTGGGTAAAAAGATTATGCAAATACTCTTACGTTGTTCTGGCAACAAGAAGTCTCAGTGTGTAAGGGACGATACATGCTGCCACGAGTTGCAAGTAGTTGACCTGAAAGAGAAAACTGACCATAAAAAGAGAAAATGTATTAATGCCCACTGTAGTATCCCTTGAGACAGCACATTGTTTAGAAATAAGCAACATGCAAAATGGAGCATGTGTAGCTAGAACACTCTATGTCTAGTTTAAGTACTTGCGCTTGTTTCAGGCCTTACGGTCATACTTTACCTCTTTTTCCTTTGTCATTTTGATGACTTGCTAATATGGCTAACATTATGGTTGATAATATTAATGGAGTTTTGTGTATATACAGTATGTCGGTTGCACAAGAAGGACTGTGTGTGAAGAAGAAATGTGAAAAGTCATAGTACTTCTGTACCAAGTTGACAAAACTAACATTAAAAACATTGTTTGCATCGCTTCGTAACCTTACTGGAATGTCCAAACATAGTTAATCTGGGAATTTGTATTAGCTCACACTTTATCTCTATTTTCAACCCACAGTTCCCATGTACGGACAGTCTCCGCTGGTAACGGGTGAGCGAGTGTCCAACAGCATGCGTACAGTAAATAAGTTGCCTAGGCACCGACCGCTGAGCCGTACTCAGTCAGCGCCCCTGCCGCAAACACCACAGGCCCTGCAGCACCTCGTAATGCAACAGCAGCATCAGCACTTCCTTGAGAAACAGAAACACTACCAGCTACATAAGGTAGAGGGAGCTCTGATGGTATGTTTGATGCTCTGGCCAGCATTTATTCAAGCAAAAAACTTTTTTGGTTTATGTGGTTTGAACGATTTAGTAAAAGTTGCTAACGAGCCCCACCTTTGTTTAGATCCTCTCCAAAGGGGTGGAGCTTCCACGACAGCCTCCCACTCACCCAGAGGAGACGGAGGAGGAGCTTACGGAAACCACAGAAATGCAAGACGAGCGAGGGGAGGGGGCTGATCATGTAAGGGAGGGGCTACAGAAAGAGAGCTCTGGTGAGACCACACCCCCTTCGGAACATCTGGTCCAGTTTAAGGGAGAAAGCACAGAAAGTGACTTGGAGGAAGAAGATGATGATGATGAAGCCATTGAACTAAGGGAATGTGATGAAGAGGGCGCTCCCTATGGCCAGGTGAGAAATTACAGCGTGTTGCCTTTTTTATACTGAGGTTTTTTGTTTGTAAGTTAAAGGTGAAGAGTATAATTTCTGCAGCACTGGTGTCATTAAACGGAATTGCAAAAATTATTTTCAAAGAGGTTTCTTGAAAGCCATCATCTGCCATAGGTCTAACACCATTGGTATTTACATGGGGGAAAATGACACACACAACCTTTAAATGTGATTTTCTGAGCCACCAACATGTACTTTGCATGGTTCAGCTAGTTTCTTGAACTTCTAAGGATCTCTAAACTTCTAATACTCCTGTTAACCTTTGTCTACCATTCTAATAACAACTGATATGGTCAGCTTTCTATATTTATCCCTTTCTCCTTTATTGCCGTTCCCCATTCTATTTTGCATAACATGCAAAGCAATCAAAACTTATTCAGAAACTTCAACTTTAGTGCCGAGCGAGCAAGGCAGAGCAGTGACTACGTATGAGTCACTTTTCAAAACCTATGCACCTGTGAAACTTAACTTACTGTTTCCTTTGATATGAAACATGTTTTTTACATTTATTATTTTATATTTATTAAACTAGAAGCAGCTGTGCCTCAAATCTGTGTGGATTTCGTGTTGTTGTTCAGCTTTTAAGATCCATCTGAACGTCTTTCCGATGCTTCTGTCACTGCACATTTCGAGAGCTTAAGTGCGTAGGCAAGTTCCTGATGAGCGTTGCGACACTCATGCGGGGGCTTGGTGACTGGAGATCGAGGGTATCCCTCTCAACCAGAGCGATTGCAGCTTTTTCGCCCCCTGAAAAGGAGGGATTAAAGAGGAAGATTGCTCTCTTCTCTTCCTCCCACCAGTGACTCACCACTGGAGGCTGGAGGGGAGCGGACGAGAAGAGGGAAAAAGAAACGTAGAAATAATTGCTAGATGGGAAGACGCAATGAACTCGACTTGGTGGAGGTTCCTCTGAGAGCAAAGGTTTATCTAGTTTGCGGTGCTTGCTTAGGTGTTTAGCTTTAGGGTTTTACTTTTGCTCATACTTCTGAGTTAGAGATTTAAACAAACCCCTATCTCAAATGATTAAACTTTGATATGAAACTAAGGCATCTAGGAACCAGAAAAGGCTTAAGGCAAGCTTTTGCCACCTGAGCTAAAACAATTCTTAGCATTGTGCTGCCATTAGTGGCAAGCAACGTTCACATTTTGTTCAGAAAATGTAAAAATCAGTATTTGCCAAAGAGCTAATTTTCATAGACCTGCACTTTTATTCTTGGATTTATACTTATCTTGCAAAAAAGTATAATATAAATATTATACTTTATATAATATAAAACTTTATATAATATACAATTTTTTACTTTATATAATATAAAGTAAAAAAAAATATCATGAATTTCAGATTTGGTACAATAGTGTTTTTTTTTTTTTTTTTACATTACTATGATAGTAATACCATGGTATTCTTCAAAAAACTGTTTAAAATACCATATTATTTAAACAGTACTTTGAAGAATACCATGGAATTATAATCTGATATGGTCATTTTAGCAAGGTACTATACATTTTTATGAAATTTGAAATAAAACCATATTTGAGCAGGCTTATTCATATCTTACCAGTGTTATTTAAGTATTATTTATATTGTAGTATATTTTTAATAGTTAAGTTACTGTGGACTTTTTCAAAGTACTAACAGTACCATCTAATCTGATACCATCATTATACTGCAACATCATTGCACTTTTCATAAAGACTTTTTGTGTGTAGTTTTGTAATATGTTATTAATCTATTGATAAATGTGCATTATTTTTATCTCACAAATCTTGAATCAGTGAATATATACAGTGCCTCCTTAAAAAATTTAATGAGAAAAGAATACATATTACAAAAATAAAACAACACAAATATTACAAAATGTGATTTAAATTTTTTTTGTGTGAGTTTTAACAGACCCCCTAAAGCATGCGTTGGGTAATTGAGAACAAATGGGGGAAAGTCATATAACTGTATATGATTGGTTTGTGCGATAAATCCCGCCTCTTGTTTTCATACGTGTTCGCGAATCGGTCTAAATGAACAAAATTAAGGCGTTAATGGGAATACTAATTAAAAAGTATGTAAGCAACACCCACTTAGATATCACCGCTTTGTCATGTCAAAATCAAACTTGAAATTGCCTAAAAACATAGGCAATAGTTGTGGGGGTTTTTTGAGCGAGCAATTAGCTTGGTGAAATTAATGTTAAAGTAATGTTTTTAATCAGGAAAATGCGACAACATTAAATGTAACTGGGACATGAATTTACATTTGATTTATAAAAAAAAAACATAAAAAAAAAGACACTGTGAGGTCTTTGCCTCCCCATTTCAGAACACCACTGCACACCACTGAGATTGCATTATCTATTCCAGCCCATTCGTTTGCATTTGCAGATTTAATCCTCCAAAAGAGCTCATTTTGATCTTAAAACAGCCCCCTGGTTATGAGGGAGGGGGGAAGGAAAAACAAATGAATGAGTGAGAGTGAATGAGAGGGAGAGGGAATTATTGAAAGAAGAGCAACACCCTCCTCCTCGCGCTCACTCTGCCTGCAATCATTGAGAAAAAATTTCAAAAGAGCACAGCATTAGAATTCAGACTGCATCCTCCTCGCGCAGCAGCAGACTCACACACTCACACACATCTACACATACACTCCTCCGTGAATGGACCTTCTCTGACTCATCTCTCCTTGGTGATTCATCTCCTCCTCCGGACCCCGCCCGCCTTTGCTGCCCTGCACTTCACACCCAATCACAGCCCACCAGGGTGATGTGACACGCCGCAGTGTGTGTCTGTTATGCGGTGACATGTAGTCACCATTGAGGCAGCGATATACGAAACACTCCATGTCACTTTGGTCAGTCACGGCCCCTAGCTGGCCTTTCCTTCTCATTAAAACACACCCACCTACACCCTTGTGTGTGTGTGGATGCTTCTGCTTGCTGCTGTGTGTCTTGAATACAAATTGAGCCCCCGTCACCTGCCATAGTGAGAGAGACAGATGCTGCATAGCTTTAGTGTCTCGAATAAAGAGAGAGTTGGTATGAAGAAGGGAATTGTGCATATATGTGTGTCTGTGTGTGTTGACATAACTTCAACCTCAAGGTCTCATGCAAGAAGAAAAAACAACTAGTAAGAATCCCATCATCTCGCATGGGCCTCCATTGCGCGTTGTACTGCATCAGCGGCTGTCTTGCTGCACACACACACGTTCATTCCGCTCGTCTGATATAGAGCAGACTCTAGGGCTGTTTACTGCAAAAGACTTTTGAGTAGATTTTTGGCAAATGTCCGCTGGGTTTCTTTGACATGCTCCAGACCATCTACTTGTACATGTACATCATGTACTGATGTTTAGTCTGTTATGATCTTAACTTGCTCTTTACACTCACTCACTCCTGTGTTATTTTAGTAGTATTTATATAGAATTATAGTCTTTATTAATATTTAGAGTTTTTTTAGTGTTCATTTTAATTTTTGTTAAAGTTTGTGTCATTTTGTTATGTGCTTTTGTCAATTTGATGTTTTACCAGTTTTATTAGCTCTTGTTTTTTTGTTTTTCTGTAGCTTTCAAGTTGATTAAAGATTTACTTTATATTTGACAAGGCAACATTTCTTTAAATTTTATATTTATTATTATTGTTGTTATTATTATTATTATTATTAGGGGTTCAGGCACAAAGTGCTGAAACCCTATTGTAATTGTAAGGATTTGTAAAACTGATCGTACAGACCAAACTGTAAGTGCCAGAGACTTGAAACCTGGCCAGATGGTAGGCCTCAATTTGGGGAGAACCTATCAGAGTATGACCCCGATTGGCCCATAGGTAGCGCTACAGCAACCAAAAGTACTAAATTGCTCATAACTCCTAGAACGTTTGACTTAGACTCAAGGTTTTTACACCACTGCACTGTGATCCTTGGCTCAAGACGGACAAAATGTATATCTCCAGGGTCATTTAGAAAAGGGGCGTGACAAAATACACTCAAAAGCCTATAAATCCTAAAGGAAAACTCAGAACTTCACAAAAAAACGATGAGCATATGTGTCATAACATGCTGAAGAAGCATGGAAAGTTTCATGGAGATCGGACCATAGGTGACGCTATAACTGTTAAAAACCATATATTACCATATATTGGTAAATTGCCTTTATTAGCTGTAAATGGTCTTTTCCATCTATTATGTCCGTGGTTACATGCTTGCTAAATAAAACTTAATAACTTTTGATGCTTTAGTGCTTAAAGGCCTCAAAAGCTTGAACCCCGATAAATGCTTTTACATTGATGTGACTGTGTCCATGTTTCTGATTGGTTGATCTTGGCTGGAGACTTTTTCAAACTCTATTGAAGTGACTCCAAAAAGTTTTTTTTTAAACTGAATTACATGAAATATTGTTGATAGTGTACTGAACCTAATGAAACTGTACTGAAGTGAATTGAGCTGAACTTATTTAGAGTGTAAAGAATAAAACAGTACTGTACCATAGAGAACTGAATTCAATTGTTCTGACAAGAACCGATTCAAAGTGTGCTGAACTAAATCAAACTGAGATGAACTGAACTGCTGAACTGTAATGAATTAATGATGATTGTGTGCTTTTTCCGCAGTATTTGGACCAGCAGCATGTGCAGCAACTGAATGTGTTCCAGGCTTCCCTGTCCATCACGGGAATGCCCCACAGACCCCTGGGAAGGGCACAGTCGTCGCCCGTCACTTCTAGTCTTAAAGCAGCACCCCTGAACGAGGTGCCCATTAAGCACCTCTTCACAACAGGTACGCTGCACCGCTGTCCATCAGTCGAACAAGACAATATCCTTAGTAGATTGTGTTTTTAATCATTTCCTCACTCTCTGCAGGGCTGGTGTACGACACCTTCATGCTAAAGCACCAGTGCATGTGTGGGAACACACACATCCATCCCGAACACGCCGGTCGCATTCAGAGTGTTTGGTCTAGGCTGCAGGAAACGGGCCTGCTTGGTCGCTGTGAGGTGAGTGCGCCATCTTCTGGAAGGGTGGAAGAATTGGCCAGAAACAATTAACGGGAAGCTTCATGTTAAAGCTCATCTTTTTCCGTTAAAAAATACAACACCGCTCCATTTACCTGAAAATTCAGCTCTTTCTGTTCAAAAAGTTTGGGTAAATTAATACTTTTATTCAGCAAGGACACCGTAAATTGATTAAAGGTGACAGTAAAGTCATTTATTTTGCAAAAGATTTCTATTTCAAATAAATGCTGTTCTTTTAAACTTTTTAGTCATCAAAGAATCCTGAAAAAAAAAATGGTCGCGGTTTCCACAAAATATTAAGCAGCACAACTGTTTTCAACTTATAATAACATTTAAAAAAAATGGTTTCTTGAGCAGCAAATCATCATATTAGAATGATTTCTGAAGGATCATGAGACTGGAGTAATGGTGCTGAAGATTTTTGAAAACATTTTAAAATATATTAAATATAATACATTTTCACAATTTACTGTTTTTACAGATTTTACTGTATAAATGCAGCCTTGGTGAGAATAAAAGACTTCTTTCAAGAGCATGAAAAAATCTTAGTGCACACAATTGTTAAATACTTTTGAGCAGCATATTTTTAAATAGATAAAGATAATTTAAGCAATCATTTAGTGGTAAAATTGCACAGCTATTGTTTACAATGTAATTCAGGGTTCCGTCAGTCACGGAAAATTTTAAACAAAACTGTTGAATAATTTATAATGGCTCAGTCATTATACCAATCAAAATGTTTTTTTTTACAAATAACTGTAAAGATAATAGGCCCCTTGTAGTGGCTTGGTAAATCATGGATGCTGTCTCAATGTACTTTCTATGTTTGTTTGTGTGCAGAGGATCAGGGGAAGGAAGGCCACACTAGATGAAATCCAAACCGTTCATTCTGAGTACCACACGCTGCTCTACGGCACCAGTCCACTGAACCGACAGAAACTGGACAGCAAGAAACTTTTAGGTGTGCTTTAGAAGCTCTCTGTTGTGATGTGTGAATGGAGTTTCTGCCGTCTTGATTTTAGGACACCAAAACAGGATTCTCCTCCTAGTACACCATCCACAAAAAGCTTCCCTTGCTTGCTTCCTATTTGATGGGTTGCTTAAGCAAACCTCCTTTGACAGACGCCTAGGCTTTTTTTAGGTCCTAGACATTTGCCCACCCCCGCTTCTGAGTCACCAGCAAAGTGTGTGTGTGTGTGTGTGTGTGTGTGTGTGTGTGTGTGTGAGGGTGAGAAGGTTCAGCTACGGACAGAGTTGCCATCACCACCTCCACTTTTATGTGAGGCACACTTTGAGGAAGTGCAGACTGTTTTGACCTTGAGTGCTCTTTGTAGAACAGTGAGACAGATGATAGTTGTCAGCGTCCTCCAATGAGCATCCTTGAGACTGAATAAGTTATGTCAATTATGTCATTACCCCTGAATAGATAATATGTGAACAACAGATGTGTGCCTAAACATAACACTCCTTCAGATCAGCTTCTAATTTCCTTTTTTAATTTTCTAGGCCCAATAAGTCAGAAAATGTACGCTGTCCTACCGTGTGGAGGCATTGGGGTACGTTTTTTTCCATTTTTGTGTCCATTTGTCCCACTTATATAATAAAGAATGAAATGGCATTCACATTGCATTTAACTCTATGTACTAGGAAGTATATATAAACAAAACAGAATTCATCTGGATTTGTTTGGATTGTGAAATGTAGATATTATTGGATAGCTTTTTTTATTTTTGGTTATTGTTAATATTATTATTATTAAGGTACACTATGTAACTTTTGGCCCTCTAGCAGTAAAAAAACAAAACTAATATGCATTTTTCAGAAGAACATTGTTTTGTTTGTGCTTCTGCTCTGCGTGACTGTGTTTAATGAAATGACTCTCACGATAGATAATGCTTTACAATGAACTCTGTTATATAGCTACATATGGCAATTTATCTGTCCAATAAAATACCCTTCTCACCTGAATAATAAAAACGCCATCTACATGTCATTTCAAACAGTTTAAATCCTTCAGTTCTCGCCATCTCCGAAAAGCCAATGTTGATTTTGGTTTTATTACGAGCTTTGTCGCGATCTCCTTTTGCCAGCAGACCCTCCTCTGTTCTGATTCTCCGGAGGTTCAAGTTTTAGCTGCTCCATGTTAATCTTTCTCGCTCGTTGTGTCAACTAAACTATGCCACTCCCACATGCGTCAAAGTAGCCGGAGCAACGTTTCTCTATTTACGAATATGATGAGACACGCTCAAACGAATCACGCAAGTACGCAATTTACTGCGAAAAACCATCCCACTCGGTCTAAAGTGTAAATAATTATAATAAGCTTACCATAGTGAATCAGGGTAAGACACAAACACATTTTGGAAGATTTGCTGATGTATTTACTCATTATTTAAATTTAGTTAATTTTGAACAAAAAGTTACATAGTGCACCTTTAATAATAATAATGTTTTACTTTAATGTTATAATTTAATATAATAATATTTAATGTTATAATTTAATATAATAATATATTAAAAATATATAATATATTTTTATAATAATATTTAAATTATTATATTATTATTATATTCAATTATGTAAAATAAATAAAAAATCTAAATAATAATTAGAATACTCACTATTAGTTATTTAAGTATAATATTAAAATAAAATTATAATAAAAAAACATTTAAATAGTAAAAATAGTAAAAAAAAAACATTTAAATGAATTGTCCCCAATAAAACCATGGACATTTATTGAGGAAGTGAATAGGATCAATTCTGAGTTTGTGACAGTAGGTCAGTATAACAATGATATGTAACTAGAAGTGACGTCATCTTCGAAATCGATGGACTGCATAAGATATGTAACATGATTTTATGTCCTGTAGGTGGACAGCGACACAGTGTGGAACGAGATGCACTCGTCAGGTGCCGTCCGTATGGCGGTGGGCTGCGTCATTGAGCTGGCCTTTAAAGTTGCTGCTGGGGAGCTGAAGGTTCATATTCGCTTCTCTCACCACGGATTCGTGTCTATTTGATGTATATTTGGTATAAATATTATTTGCTTATATTATATGACATTTTCTTCTGTTGTCCTCCTCTTCCTTCTCTTCTATTTTTGTTTGATGGATAGAACGGTTTTGCGGTGGTGCGTCCTCCTGGTCATCATGCTGAAGAATCCACTGCCATGTAAGTAGTTTTGAAAACTTTTGAAACTTTAATTGAGAGTCTGTATAAAATGTTTAATTTCAAATATTTTAATGTAATTTAAAGCCGTTTACTTTATCATGTTTATTCTACATAAACATCCCCACATGTTGAACATTGGATTGCTTTATGTCATGCTGTGAGTTGTGTGTGGCCAGATGTTTGATATCTAGATGTACTGTACTGTAAATCATTTATGCGGGTTCACATAAATGAGTCCACTGCTCTGTGTGTGTCTTGGCAGGGGTTTTTGTTTCTTCAACTCAGTGGCCATCACTGCCAAACTCCTGCAGCAGAAACTCGGGGTGGGCAAGATCCTAATCATAGACTGGGTGAGTTTTTAGGGTGAGCTCCATGCGATACACAGTCTCCTGTGATGTTACAGTCCTAACAAGAAATATTATTGTACTGATTCAGTTTAATTTTGATGAACAAGAAGATTAAAATCTTCTCTAAAAGATTTCAATTCTTTTCATAGGATATTCACCATGGAAACGGGACCCAGCAGGCTTTTTATAATGACCCCAATGTGCTGTACATTTCCTTGCACCGTTATGACGATGGCAACTTTTTCCCAGGCAGTGGCGCTCCTGTGGAGGTAACAACATTTCAGTCACTGTGTGAAGATGCTTAAAGGAATAGTTCACCCAATAAATTTAATTTCTGTCATTATTTACTCGCCCTCGGGTTTTTCCAAACCTGTATGAATTTCTTTTTTCTTCTGAACACAAAAGAAGATATTTTGATGAATATGGGTGACAAAACAGGCCCAGGGAGGCATTGACTTCCAAAGTATGGAAAAAAAATACTGTGGAAGTCAATGGGATCCATCAACTGTTTCTTCAAAATATCTATCCCTTTAATTTGTGAATGGTGGCTTCCTGTAGTCATATGACCAGAATTGTCTTTTTTTTCTAACTGGTTTTCTCATGGGATATGTATAGGTAGGTGTGGGTCCCGGAGAGGGCTTTAACGTCAACATTGCCTGGACCGGCGGAGTGGAGCCACCTATGGGTGATGTGGAGTATCTGACTGCCTTCAGGTGAGATATGCACTTTCTGTCTGTTAGGGGGAAAAATGCTAAATATAACTCTTTTAACATTAAAAACATTTACTCTGAACCCATTACATGGTTTGAGGAGCTGTGCAGATCATTTGTAATTCAAACACTTCCTGTCTGTGTGCTTGTAGAACGGTGGTGATGCCCATAGCCAATGAGTTCTCCCCAGATGTGGTGCTAGTGTCAGCTGGCTTTGATGCAGTGGAGGGCCACCAGTCCCCCCTCGGTGGATACAACGTCACCGCCAAATGTGAGTTTGCTGTTTTACTGTTTCCAGAACCAGAGGTCAGATGGCACAAATTATCATTTTGTACCCCCTAATTGCATAGATGAGTTGTATTATACACATAAAAGACCATTTAAAATGCAGTCATACATGGACTACCTAAGATCTTCTGGGTCAATAAATATTGCTGTCATACTGGTCGTACCACTAGACAGTATTAACTCGATAGAATTATAGACTTTTAACCTGCATTTCTGTTAAAATTGGGGGCGTTTAAGGTTTTTCATGAAGGCTTTTGAGTTTGTTTATAGTTCATGAATTACCCAGCATGCTCCTGGCTCTCTGCGTAGGTTTCGGCCATCTCACTAAGCAGTTGATGAAGTTGGCTGGCGGCCGTGTGGTTTTGGCACTGGAAGGAGGTCACGACCTTACCGCCATATGTGACGCATCTGAATCCTGCGTGGCTGCATTGCTTGGAGACGAGGTACCCGTCATTCATTCACACACATCCAACTAGCACACGATAGGATTATATAGGCTGTTCTATTTTGGGGTCTCGGTGATAAAACAAAGGGTTAAATCTTAAATAATATCTGTCTGCTAGCATTTAATTATGCCAGGGGTACATATTAAAAGATCTTGTAGAGTAAATAAGTTCATTTCAAAATTGCTGTTATTATTTTTGGTGTCTCTGGGACCCTAAACATAAAAACAGTATCAGCAGAACATGAGCTTTTAATAGCTTAAAATAAGTCACAGTAGGTACTACTTTTGAATAAGTAATTACCAGCGAACCTTAAAAAGTACATTCTATATAGTATGAATGTGTGTAGTGTGAATATAATACGGATGTACTACATACGACATGTTCTCATTGTCATGTGACCTACAAGAATGAGTTGCGTCACTTCAATGCCCTTTACAAATCCTCTCCCTTCCCCTCATGGGATAGTGTCCTTTGGACGTGCACCTCTCACCGCAAATAGTAGATCATCCGAATACTGGGAATTCAGACATTCTACACACACTGTTTTTTACTTATTATATAGTAGGGAAATATGCAATTTTTTGATGCAATAGTGTTCCTGTTGGTGAAATAAACATATAAATTATTTTATTTCTTGATCTATTAATGTTTTGTGTGTGTGTGTGTGTGTTGCAGTTGGATCCTCTGCCACTGATGGTACTTCAACAGAAACCGTGTCCAAAAGCAACAGCCTCTCTAGAGAGGGTCATTGAGATTCAGAGTAAGTGAGAAACCGAAGGAAACTTGGTTAAGAATTACATTAATTTCTACATTCAGTCCCTCTTTATTTTATAGTACGAGAAAGTGTGTTCAGTAGGGTTTTATATTTAGACATTTCTTTAAAGGCACACCGTGTAAGATTTTTTTGGATTAAAATATCCAAAAACCACTAGAACAATGTTATATATTTTGTTGATTTGTGCACTTACATTATCCCACATGTTTCTAAGAATGTTTAAATCCAGAGAAATAAGCAGTTTTACAGGATCGTGTCACCTATCAATGACATCATACCCGCGTTACCCTCGATTTCCGGTTTTATTTTGTAGAAACCACGCTGAGCGAACGCACAGAGTAGCATTATAACAACTTTCATCACACTCAAATGTATCTAATATGATTAAACATCGCTGCGTTACTCCACATACGCATGACTGGAATAGCGGAAGCAGTCTGTGGCATAATACAAGCTCCACTGTTCTCGAGCCGTGTGTCACGCTCGTCTCTCATTAGCCATGAATATGAACATTAGATAGATCATCCATGAATATGATTTCTGCCCGAGACTCTGTCGTATTCTCCACCGGCTGTAGAGGTGAAGACAACAACTCCCATGATTCTGCGAAATCAAGGCATCATCAAGCTATGCCTTTTTAAAAAAGCGACCTCTAGCGGTGAAAAATCACATAGTGTGCCTTTAATGTACTTCATTTCATTTTATTAGAGGATAACCCCTTGAGATGGAACATCTCATTTTCGAGGGGGTCCTCAAGATAACACCAAACACTTACACATTCGCACACACTAATGCTCTTCTTCACAACCAACCACCTCAACCTGTCCCACCTCTGTCCAAAGCATTTTCACATAAACAATATAGTATGACATTAAGATATTACAGGAGAGAACCATTTTTGACGAAACCACAAAAGCAAACAAATATAACCTACATATACATACCAATACAAAAATACATACCTATATACACATATGCATACAAACGTGCATGCACATACATAATTTCTTACTAAGGGCATTAGAGACACAAAAGCTCATATACCAGGAAAACATATACATTGGTCACACGATTGCAAATAAGTTAAAAGGGCTGACTTAAAGAGTGGCTGACTTAAAGAATGTTTATTTAAAATAAATATCTTACCAGGAAAAACTGCAAAATTTCAGTTAAATATTAAATTGAATGATCTTATACAGTTTTTCTATTATAAGTTTATTTGTTTTTTGTTCAGACATAGCATAGAAAATGTTAATGAAATGTTTAAAAATCAGTTTTTAGGTCTTGATATGTAATTGCTGATCATTTTTTATTTATCTTCTCGTGATCTGTAGGTAAACACTGGACGTCTCTGCAGAGGTTGGCTCCTACAGTGGGTCAATCTCTCCTGGACGCTCAGAGGCGAGAGAAGGACGAGGCAGACACTTTGACCGCCATGGCCTCTCTCACAGTGGACAACGATCAGCAAACGACTTCCACAGAAACCAGCAGGTATCGCAACTGGAGTCGAGTCTGTTGTTATACACCGTATACCAAACATTTAACATATAACTTTAGCCTAACTATAACCGGTTCACCAATTATACCTTCCTCAGATCTGCAGAGGAGCCAATGGAGGAGGAGCCCGTGTTGTAGAAGAGCGAGTAAAGTACATCACTGCTCCAACCTTCTTGTTCACGTGTGCTTGGCACTGGCCACCCTGACGTCACGCCTCATGTTCCTCCTCCCAGCTCTTTGATTGGTTCCCTCGGTCCTTCACTCATTTCCAGGTGCTTGACTGACATGTTCAAGGCCCACCCACTTTCGCTTTTCTGAGGTAAAGCATAGCAAACTGTTGCCGAAAGGGGACGACAAAGGCATTATGGGTAATTGCAGGACCACTCAGTGAGGGTTGCTCAGCTGGATAGGCCGAACAATGGAGTACTCTTCAGAGAAATGCCTTCGATTTCAATTAAGCATTGTATTGAACTGGGGACGTAAAGAAGAAAATGCAACAAAAAAAAAAGTAGAGGAGGAGGAAGGGAAAAACGACACGACAGCATGTGGATGTTGTTGCTCGGAGGGCCGCGAAATAAGCTTTGTTTTCTGTACAAAGTATAAGAAATGTACAAAGTTCCAAAAAAAGCCAACAAGCAGCAAAAATACTTCAGCACAAAACACACATATACACTCATTCACAAACGAACATGGTTCCCAAAAGAGGAACCAGATGTTCGGGTCGTGACAAAACACCTTTTGCAGACAAGTATACTCGTTTACACTGTACCGTGTCGATTATTTGGTATACTTTTGCATCTGTATAATAACCTGTTGTGAAAAGCACACAAACATATGAGAAATATAAATATATATATAAATATACATACATACATATAAGCATATGTGTTTTGTGTGTACCGTATACACAATTGAACACTGAAAAATATATAAATACTTTATATCTCCTTTATGAAACGTTTTCTTATCAGCTGTGGTTGTACATACAGTAAAAGAGCCTGCAGACTTTTATCTGGAAGTGGAAGAACGATGGTTAGCCTTTTTTTCCCAGAAGCATTTCTTTTCTTTCAGAGAAAACTGTACTTTTTTTGGAATATACGGCTTTGCTATAACATGCTCGCACATAAACATAAATGCGTTTTACGACAAAGGTGTAAAATACGGAGAAGGGATTTTCAAAGCGTCCATCTCGACCTTCGTGGAGAACGAGGAAAGACGCGTTGTGGTAATGTCTGAAGAAAGACTCTTTTTGTTTTTTCAAAGAACTTGGTGCCTTTTATACTAAGGAAAACATTTAACAACACCAATACTTAACAAAAATCGCAAATCCTCAGAGTTAACTTTCATTGATTTGTTTGATTTTCAAATTGCCTTAATTTTTTTCAAAGAAAACTAATTTCAGCCATGAACGACAGAGCAGCACAAACCGATTATTATCTTCCTTCTGCCCCGGTTTCTTTTCTTTTTCTTTCTCATTGTTTTCTTTTTTTTAAAGATGTAAATGTTGTGTTCTTGGAAAAAGGTTTTGATACTCCTCCTTTTTATTTTACTGTTAACGAATGAAAGAAATTCAACGATTGTTTTATTTATCCGTCCTGTGCAATAGACTAGCGCATGACGTGATTTGTTTGGAAACACTGACAATGTCGTGACCAACTTCCTGTTTGTTTTCTTTACCGTATATTAACGCCACCTTCCTTTGTACATGTATTTGTTTGGCTCCCTTACACTCGTTTATTTTACTTTATTTCCATTGGCGAGAGAGTGTTAGCGGTGACTTTTTGTATTCAAACATTTCCTTTTTTTGTACAAAAATGTAAACGAAAAAAGAGTCTATATCAGTGTTAATTTCATCATTTGATTTGAAGTATTCTCTGATAAGGAATGTACAGCGTGGTACAGATATTATTGATGATGTTGATTTATGTCACTGTGCAGTGCATTTGCCATTGTCCTTTTTCAGGATTTAAGGATATTTTTTTCCGGCAATAAGAGTGACTAGGCTACCACTTTTTTTCTGTTTAATACTGAAATACTAAAAACCTTTTGGTTACATTTTCATCATCTTTTGATATAGCTTTTGTGCTATCGATATGGTTGTTTTTCACCAGACTAATTAGTATTGTTCATAACTGTTCATAACAGTTTGTTGTATGCTGATTAATCACTTGTGCACTTGTGGATGAAATGCAATGGCTTGTTTATGACCCTGAAATAATCATCCTTTATTACATTTTCACTGTGTGACAACAGTTTTGGGGGGCCAAATTCGATTTAATCTGCTGCGTCTTTATTTAACGTCGTCACCCTCTTCCTTCAGCAATGTCACAGAAGCAACATTACTTGGTCTGAGAGGTGACAACGTGTCTAATGGCAAGTACTTTCAGTGAGACTGAACTGGGTCTCAAACATCTTGCACTAATACTACACTGTAGGTCCGAACCTAATTGTGTGTTTTCTTTTTTCTTTTTCTCGGTTCTCAGACGCAAATTATGAGGCATTAAAAGCAAAGTGACTTATCTCAGCAAATGCGTTTAAATGACACGTGAACTCTCTCGTCAGCGTTTTTTCTTTGTGTATGTTCATTGGTTCACCGATGAACTGTTGATGTTGAAGCGACAGACATTTCGATGCGCGTTTCTTGACTCTGCTCTCATTTGATTTATTTATTTGGAGTCAGAAATGGCAGCTGAAAGCAAGTTGCATCGCTTCTGGATCAATGCTTGTCTCGTTGTAAATCGATGAAAAATTAAGTACCTGCATTTTGTCTCTTCTCTTCTTCGACAGCCTCATAGCCTTTGGGCAATAACATTACATTATAGTGATCAACAACAACAACAACAAAAAAGGCCAGTTTTTTCACAACAACAGTCCTCTAAGAAGAGCCATGTCACCATTGGATAAAGTATTTATACGTCTGAACTGTATGTTGAAACACTAAAGTCAACTGTTTTGCGGTTGAAGAGAAACAGGAAACAAACACTTTGTGAAAATCAGGCTGACACTAGCCTCTGTACTTAGATACTGTAATATACACTAAGAGAATTTCCCTCTTCTATGTGGCTGTCTGAATCAGGAACTACTGTGATCAGGTTTTGTAACGTTTGGATGTAGATCACCAACCATTTGTGCATAGTTTTGTATCTTCACCCTATATGGTGTCAAAGAGTTTATTGACCGTGCAGTTGGTGGTGAAAGCTTTTTTTCTCTTGTTTTTCGTTCCTCTTTTTAGTTTTAAGGATGAATCCAGCTGGCGTGTTGGTCCCTTTTTGAGACCTAAACCTTCTCCTTAGGTGTGTTGGGTTAAGCAATACATAGAGAGGGAAAATAATCGATCAGATGTAATACAGTATATGACGCTTGGCTTTCTTGAACAAGGCACTGAGGGAGGCTGTTCATTTTACGCAATGATCTTTACACAAAGAAAACAACGTGAATGGCCTTACGACGGACACCGGGAAACCTCTGTATGTGTAAAAGACATCGACATTCGCCATGGAAGATAGCTTTACTGTCTCTGCCACATATTTTGCTATTGGGTAAATATGTATATTTATTGATAATTCATATGTTGTGTATATGTTGTGACCTATGATCGTCAAGGTTCAAAGAGTGCTTGTATATTTTTTGACTTTTTTGAAAGAGAGGTTGTGACTCCTTCACTGTCCCTTTGTTTCTTTGCTGTTCTACATCACTTGTTGTGATTGGTCGTTTCAATTTGTGAGACCTTTTAACCTTACATTTTTAAGATCCTTTCTCTCTCTCTCTCTCTCTAATCTCCTCTCTTTTTTGTCTATCTTCTGGTCATATTGATATGCAGAAGTTATCTGAAATTATCAAAGCACATTCCCTGATTTATTGTGTTCTTTCAATGCTTTCATGTTGCGACAATACAAAGGTGTGTATACTAACTGCTACACACGTGTATATAGGGTGCATATATGTGTACACATGTGCAATACACGCTATTTGAGCAATCTATTACTGTGACTATTAATCATTAAAAAGTGCTGTCCCTTTGAATCTTTTTTTTTTTTTTTTGTCATTTCTTTAAGCAACAATGAACTGCTCAACATATACAAGGAAACCTTTGGGCCAGTGGTGATACACATACTGGACAAGACATTTAGTTTGTGAAATAAGTCTGTTGCCCTTCGTCTTAACTTCCTGCAGTGTTGTCTAGATTTGTATGCTCTGCTTTTTGTCTTAAATGGGTTCAAATTGATGCATGGATATTTGTGACAAATATTTAATTTTAAAGCTAAACATACCCCCTGATGCATTTGTTTTCATTCAGCTTGTCTCTATTCGTATATTTAAGATTTTGTAATATTAAAATCTTCTTTGAAATAATTAAATCACTGATCATTTTCAATAATGTATTATTACTATTATTATTTGTATTTTTTATTATACTTATAATATATTTTTATAAAACTTAAAAAAAAAAAATATATTGTTATTTCATATTCTAATGTATTTTATGAGTATTTCTAATGTAATGCATATAGAAATATTTTCATTGGTACCATGTTTTTCTGTACCATAATAGAAAATATAAATATTGTGAGTGTGAGATGCAAGTTTAGCCAAGAAACCATGTAATGATTTTTTTTTTTTTTTCATATAAATTAGGTGTTTTCAAACATGGGAAAGTTCAGTGAAAAAAATTATTATATATATACAGTAGTCAACATTTGAAGTGGATCAAAACCTTTCATCAAAGTTATACATGAATTTTGAACAATACCCGTTCTTGTCTTAGGACAACTTTTTTGATCCACTTAAAATGTTGACTACTAATATATATATATAATATAATTGTTTTTACAATTTTTTAAGATATAAAGTATTTGACATTGCAGTTTCTTTCAAAAAATTATCAGAAATCATACGAATTACGCTATTCTTTAGTCAAAATTGTATGTTTCTCTTCAGGTTTATACATCTATAAGCACTTACAGATACAATGTAATGTAAACTGATATTTTAGACATTTATAATATTTTTTTTTTCCACTGTATAAAAGGGTCTTTATTCTTGAAAATATGTAACTGCCTTAATGGGGATCCCTCGAAAGCAGGCCATCATATTTGGGGGTCTGGAGCATCAAAAAGTTTGAAAACCTCTGATTTAGGTCACAGATGGTAACAACTGGCTCCTATAATTTCAAAAGAATCTTGTGTAGGCCTATAAACCAGGAAGACGAGTAAGTGATAAGTGGTTAAATGAGGGCGTATAGTGCACTGTAGTAAGATATTCATGATCTACTACTCCATAGTAAAGCGGGCGTGGCTTCAATTGCAGCGCCCGTTTTCGCGTCACTTCATTCATCCCGCGGAACGCCCACTCGCGCGCCCACCCATGCTGACGCGGCTGCGCGTGTTTACGTGAGGCGAGTCGACTGCTCCCGTTTCCTGGCGGAGAAGATGGCGGCTCCTGGACCAGGGGAGTATTTCAGCGTCGGGAGCCATGTCTCCTGCCTCACCTGCCTGGGGCAGCGCTTGCAAGGAGAGGTCGTCGCTTTTGACTACCCGTCCAAGATGCTGACTTTGAGTATCCTTTTGTCGTCTCAGCTTGTCATTGAATCGTCGGGATCCACAACTGCAAGAGGCCTGGTCTGCGGGTATGCCAAAGATATTTTCACCACGGTGAAGTCAGTCCACTCGGCGTTCGCTTCCGTGTTTCGCGCATGCCGAGTCAGGTGGTGCGCATTTGAATCTCCGATTGGTTATTACATTTTTCTCTCGTGCTCTTTAGTTCTTAGCATGTGAGTGTAATGCCTGGTTCAGATTACACGATTTATATGGCATAATACATCCTCTTTATGCCAACCAAACACAATTTTGGACTCGCACAACATGAAATTTAGCTCTAATGTGTTATAGTGTATTATAAGCAATATGGTGTTTCAAACGACGAATAATACTAGACCTAATTTTACTGGGTCCTGTTCATAGAACACCTTGAACTATCAGATATTTTGAAAGTGCGCTGTAATGTAGCAAATCATGCTGTATAATTGTCTAGTTATGCTGTATATATTGTCTATTTAGTGGTTCATTATGCTCATTTCTGTGGAGCATGAAACGCTCGCAAAACCGTGGTAATGTCAGATTGACATTCTTT